ACTTAACAGCTGCATCTACCTCCTGATAAGAAACATCTTTATATGTGACAATTTATATTGTTGGGTGAGACTATTTAGTACTACCTCTTCAGTTTTGTGTGGCGCAGCCCTCCTCTCTCTTTTGTTTTCCTGTGTGTTATTTTGAAGGGTTGAGAGGGATCCCCATTCTTAGGGTTGCTACCTTGTTGTTTATTATTTTCTGTTATTAAGTGCTGACCCAATTGTTTGTTTTTAACAATATTTGTAAAAATTTGTATTTTGCCACTCAGGAGTTCTCTACCAGGGAGGAAGAAAGTTGGCTGAAGTTCCAGGAACTGCCTGCAAGGGCCATTAACAGTCTCCGTGTTCTGTGTACCATTGGGAGTTCCATTATGTCCAGTGCCCGTCTGGTGTTGTCCTCTACTTGACGAAATGTGATTGTTCGGGGAGACAAGAGTACACAGGAAGGGGGTGTATTCTGTGTGCTAGCACTTGGGCAAATAGCTTTGTGTCTGCGTTAAGCAGGGAGATAGGGCAGTAATTTGCGCTAAATTCAGTGGGTTTGCCTGACTTGGGAATAGTAATTATGGTGGCCTCTAACATTTCAGGGGGTATGGAGCCTGACTCCATGATGTTGTTGAACAGGGAGGTCATGTGTGGAAGGAGTTGGTCGGCAAAGACTTTGTAGTAGTGGGTGGAGAAACCATCCGGTCCCTGGGCTTTGTGTCGGGGGGTTTCCCTAAGTGCTTTGGAGATTTCCTCTGGAGTGATTTTGCTACTGAGTAGAGAGGCTTGGTCGCTGGAGAGCTGGGGGAGCTCCACTCTGTCTAAGTAGGCGGCTATCTCCAGAGGGGTCAGCTGGTGTTGTAGGGGGTCCTCCGATAAATTATACAGGGCACCGTAAAATGTCGCAATTTCTTCTACTATCAGTTTGGGGTTTGTCAGTTTTGTCCCGTTACCGTCCACTAAGCATGGTATGCGTATCTGAGCGTTTTTGTCTTTCGGTTGGGCGGCTAGCAATTCCCCCGCCCTGTTCCCTTGTCTATAGTACTCGCTTTTGAGTTTGCGGAGAGCCCTCTCCACTCGCTGGAGTTGGTGAGTTTCTAAGTCAGCTCTGATCTTATTAACTTCCCGTCTGGTCACGTCAGCGGGTGAGGATTTTTGCAGGTCCTCTGCAAGTTTCAGATCCCTGAGCCGTGCGCTGCTGGTCTCCGCTAGTTTGCGTTTAAGTGTCGCTCCTGCCCTAATCAGTACTCCCCGTACCACGGCCTTAAGGGACAGCCATGTCGCGGCTACGGTTGTGTCTTGGGGCTGGTTGTCTGTGAAGTAATTCACTATGGTTTTCCTTATCTGTTCAAATCCAAAAAGTTATTAAAATATATTGGCCATAGAACCATCTAACAAAACTGAGAAAGCTGAGCCTTATGTGCCACTTTTAAATTTGACAAGTGACAGTAGCATGTAACATACTCATTTGGTTGAAAAAGATAATAACCACTGAATCTTGAACAAATGTATCCAGGCAACCTCCAGTGTGGTATGTTCACATGGTTACTATTAATGAAAGTGCAAGTCAAAGATGAAGGGATATCATTTTATTTAACGGGAAATGGAAAGGGACACCATATGTCAGTGCTAACTATATGTGTCATTTTACAGGTTAGGGATATTGATGTTCTTCTGTGTCCTCTTCAATTTGTCCTGGCAAAAAAAAAAGATACAATAAATAAATAGGAATTAACCATTATTTTTAATAACATATATCTGTGTACAACTGATGATTTCTGGATGACCTAACCGCAAAATTGTTTACTGTATGCCCACTCTGTTTTAACTGCATAATCTTACACATACAAAGTCGCACAATTCAATGACAAACAACGATTAGGATTAAAGGCGTCTCATTCATGATCATGATTATCTACATATTACATAATTTAATTCTTTCTCATTACTAATCCTTACTAATTTATATCAAGTTGAGTTGTTGACTAAAATTAATTCTGATGCATTCAGAATTTGTGATATTTACACTAGTTATGATAGATTAATTGGTCAGTTTAAAATATTTCCCATTCGGCTATTTTACTGTAAATTATTAAAAGTATGTGTAAATAGTAAATTGAAAACAATTTAATGTTGAGCCCCTAAAAATGTATCTTTTAGACAAAGTTAAATATGGTAAAAAATATGTAAAATGGTCGAACTATCATTTGAATGTTTTTTTTTTACAGTGAAACCTGCGTTCTTCAGGCTCTGAATGGTTGACTGCATCATAAAGAATAAATTATGAATATATTAATTCAACAGTTTGTATCTGTAGGTTAAAATAGGGGTATGTTCTCTTAGCAATTCCTAATTCTATTATCTAAATCTCTAACTGTAATCTTCCAGTGTATGTGATGGGTTCACGTTATCTAATAAAATAAATATTTTTATATATATTTTTGTTATGCATTTCTATTTTTTGATTTCTTCAAAAACATTACCACTCATACACAGGTCCACACCATGTGGTATTAATAATTCCTCAAACCAACCCCACTTAAAATGTTCAAGAATTAAGTCTGTTCATAAACAAACTGAATCGTCCAAATCAAAATCCTTTTAATTTACACCTAAATGAACCAATTCTCCATTATTTTCAGACAATTCCATTTGTTTATAGGTGTACTGAATTTTCCATATGTCTACTAATTATCTTAAGTAATATTAGAAAAGTGGTCCTTAGGCTCCTAGAACTTATAACCTATAAATGCCTTTCCTCAATTACCACTATAAGCCCTCTGCCTGCCTGCCTGCCTGCCACGGAGTGTCAAGGTTGAAGCTATTGCTTTATTTATTTTTTGTTTGTTTATTAATTTTATGTACCACAGAGAATTTTTAAAAGGCACTTTTCAAGTACCATAACCACTATAACATACTGCGGTGGTTATGGTTTCAGGAATACCCTGACATCCTCCACCCAATTTTTGAATGGGTTAACTTATTAACTTGGATCTGAAGGTCCTTAATAATCAAACACGATGAGAGAGGTAATCAAATAGATGGAAGATCAGCACACTATGAGCTCCCCACAAAATCATATATCCACTATTTTACTTTCTTTAAAGGAACACTATAGACACCAGAACAACTACAGCTTATTGCATTTGTGAGTAGAATCATTCCCTTCAGGCTTTTTGCTGTAAACACTTTGTTTGCAGAGAGAATGCAGTGTTTATATTACAGCCTAGGGATAACTCTACTGGCCACTCCTAAGATGGCTACTAGAGTAGCTTCCTTGGGCAGTGCTGCACAGTGAGCAGCACTGCCATTCAGTGTCTCCACCTTCTGCATGCAGACACTGAACTTTCCTCTTAGAGATGCATTGATTCAATTAATCTCTATGAGGAGTTGCTGATTGGCTGGGGCTGTGTTTGACTTGCACTAGCTCTGCCCCTGATCTGCCTCCTTGACAGTCACAGCCAATCCTATGAGGAAGCATCGTAATTGGCTCAGACCACCACTTCTGATGATGTCAGCAGACAGAGGTAGTTCAGGGGCAGAGGCAGCAGCTTCAGACTTGAATGCAAGTAAGGACCTCCAGCATCAGATAGGAAAACATTGAAGAATGTCAAAAAAAGAAAAATTGGTTTTAAAGGTATATTTAATGATATATATATATACTGATCAGACAGACACAACAGTAAAAAAACCTGCCTAATATCATGGAGGTCACCCTTGTGCTGCCAAAACAGTTCTGATGTGTTGAGGCATGGACTTCGCAAGACCTCTGAACATGTCCTGTAGTATCTAGCACCAAGACATTAGCTTCAGATCTTTTAAGTCAAGCAAGTTGCAAGGTGGGACCTTCATGAATCAAATCTGTTGTTCCAGCACATCCCATAGATGCTCAAGTAGATTCAGATCTGGGAAATTGAAGGCCAAAACAACACCTTGAACTGTTTGTCAAGTTCCTCAGACCATTTCAGAACAATTTTTGTAGTGTGGCAGAATGCATTTTTTCTGGTGAAAGAAGTCACTGCCACAAGGGAACACCATTGTCAAGAAGGGGTGTATGTCATCTTCAGCAATCTCTAAGTAGGTGGTACATGTCAAAGTAACATCCACATGAATGCCAGGACCCAAGGTTACCCAGAAGACATTGCCCAGAGCATAACACTGCCTCTACCGGTCCACCTTCATTCCATAGTGCATCCTGCTTCCATCTCTTCCTCAGGTAAACAACCCACAGGCACCCAGCCATCCATCTGATCTGACCAGACGAGGTCACCTTCTTCCATTGCTTCTTGGTCCAATTCTGATGCACACATCCCCATATATGCAGCAAATTGTGATACACTGTGTGTTCTGACACCTATCTTTGTGATCTGTGTGAACAGACCAGATGGGCTAGCCTTTGCTTCCCACCTGTATTATTGAGCCTTGGGATTCCATGACCTAGTTGCCTTTCCCTGCACCACGTTTGGTAGGTACTAATCACTGGAGAACAGCCCACAAGACATATCTTTTTGGTAGTGCTCTGACCCAGTTGTCTATCCATCGCTATAAGGACTTTGTCAAGGTCACTCAAATTTTTTCACTTTACCATTTTTCCTGCTCCCGACACATGTAATTCTAGAATTGACTGTTCATTTACTGCCCAACTCTTGACAGGTGCCTTTGTAATGATATAATCAATGTTATTCATTTCACCTGTCAGTATTTTAATAATGTGGTAATCAGTTTATATGTACACTGTGTACATAGAGTGTTTTAGTGGGACCTTTAATCCTCTTTTCTTTACAAAACATGAGAAATGCAGACTATACAGGGGTAGCAAGCAGAAATGCAAATGTTTATTGTTAAATGAGACACACGAACATGCAGCATTTCAGCCTAGTGGCTTTAACCATGTATGATTAAGGGAACTAGGCTGAAACATTGTATTTTATTGTGTCGCATTTTACAATAAACCTTTGAATTTTTGTTTTGTTTTGGATTTACAAAATGTGTTCATATTGTCTCCACACCTTGTACTCTACATCTTTGTACCCCCACCAAACCTATACTATTTTTCAAATCTTTAAGACAAATCCGGTACAGAATAGTATGTAGACCACACATTTCTTGTAAATCCACACCACACATATGGAGTATGGGAAAGGGGAGACTATTGCACAACTTAAGAGTACTGGAGAACCTTATTGATATTTTTGGTGCCATTCTCCAGATGTTGCATATTGATTGAGGGAGAGGACAAATAAATTAACAATTTCAGGTGCATAAATTAAACTCAATGATGGCTCAAAGTCCAAACTACTACACTGCTATGTGTGTAATATGGACATATGTATTTTTAGCACACACCAGATTGCCCTGAAAGGAATTTGCATATCAAATGCTTCCTAGAAGCAAATAACTATATTGGAAGATTTAACTTTTTATTGTACATTCATTGTTCAGGCATACGAACCCTTTAATTACATAATAGAAGTCTTCAATGAGCCTAATTTAAAATATAAACTAAGAATGAACTTCTTGACAAATCGGCACAGTTGGGGGGACACACTACAGTTGGGGACAAACCATCAGATGTTTATCTGGATAAATTATAATACACATTTTATGAAACCGTCCTTGCACAAGCACTTAGCAGAAAGTTGCTGTTAAAGTGTATTTCCATGCTTCTATAATGGACTATAATGTAATACTCACTGAGCAAATTGATTGTCCCTCAAGCAAAAAGCTTTTTTTATTGCATGGAAAATGATAGTGTTTTGAAGAGGCACTCTGTTAATCCAAAAATATTATACTTTTTAATATAGGGATTGCAAGGAATTTGGCAGCTAGATTGTTCTTCTGGTCACTGAAGACCGGTATTCATGATATTTCTTGGTATAGAGAATCATTGCAAAATGTGGTTCAGATCACCCTCTTAAGAAAGTACACAAAAAAATAGGGGATAAGCTGCTAAATTGAGAGTAGATGAAATAACATAGCATATAACTGTGTATGAGTGAATCACAAAAGGTATGTTTACAATTGGCCACTCACAAATTCACAGACGTAAAACGGCCTTAAAAAAAATTCCTCCTTCAATATCAGCTGGGTTCTTACATCATCATACTCCCATCAATAGGTTGGAATGTGTTGCTCAAGAGAGAATATAGAGAAAGCAAAATATGTAGTGCACTTCCAGAGTAAAGTATAAAAATAATTTAATAACTTACATATAAGTTTAAAACAATCCGTTTTCACCACTGGGCGTCCTACGCATTTCGTCCTAGATTCGGACTTATTATAACAAATATTTTGTTTTTCAGTTTAACTCATG